TCTTTTCCTTTGAAAAGTGTCAATTAGTACACAAAAGACCAACTTTCTATCCCAAAGTGAGTACTTCGAAGGAAATAAGAGTAATGATAGGCTTCAGATGAAAGAATTAAACGCATACATTTGGAGTTTTCCTCCCTCCTAAATAACAATGAGACAAGAATATTGCCCAGAGGAAAGTGTATGGACATAATACCAACGTTGAATACATTTTTATAGACCATTGTCCGAAACGTTTCATGAGACCAACGAATATCTGGAAATGTTTTTCCTCCACAATTTGAGGCAGATTTACGCTTTCAAATATATTGTGAATTATTAGCCGAGCATAATATTTGATGCATTACGATATTAAAACCTTCACGATCGTGAATACCTACATATACATAATAAAGTACCGACATTAAAATATAAAGGTTTCAGTGAATTGAGGAACCCAACGACAATCATTCAGTGTATTGCATTTCGAGGATGTAATAGTATTCTGTGGTTGTAGTTTTTCTATCATAAAATCACAATGAAAACAAAACCCTAACTTTTCCAGTTACAATCAGACAAAACAAACTGGAAATGCAATGAAATTTAGGTGTTTCGCTGACACCGTTCGTAGAGTGCAAAGTTAAAAAAACAAATGGAACCGTCGAAGTTCGATCGAGGTAGTATTGAATGGGTGGAAGTGATCGGTGTTTGAACAATCAGTATAATTGTCAACGTTGTCTTCTACCGGCTAAAAGTCGGTCAAGCAACGTCAGTTACGTGACCCATTTATTGCAATTGCCACGAATTGATCTCCATCAGTGTTACAATAGTCTATAGATGCCAATCGATTGCAAAATTGTATTCGACGCACGAAGATTTGGGCCTCAGTTTTACACTCGACTGCTCTAAAATAAGTGCTGATTGAACACGAATAAATGTATACCTAAACGTTACTGTATTGTGTGTCGACGCTGGAAATGGAGAACGGAGATATGATCGCCACAAAGAGAAAATGTTATAACAATGCCCCTTAATTAACTCAAACATTTTCATAGAGTGAATAGGTAGAGTACTGTTATTTTTAAGCAAGTCAAGGGGAAGATATTGTATGCCAACCAAACCAGGATCCAATTGTGTTATTCGGCAGGCGACACTTGTGTGGCCTCCCAGACACATTAGTAATGGCATTGAGTCTTGTTATATTCAATCATTTGTTGGCCTACTTGCGCTTCATATGCTCACCTGACACCTCGAATTTGTTAGCTATGGACTGATCATATAACTTGAATACCAAATGATCCAAATAAATCCCCTCTGAATGGAGATAAAGCGAACTAAACACGTTCAGAATTAGTTCTAAATCATTTGCTAAAGTAAAACTTTCTAAAAGTTTTATGAGTTGAATTATGGATCAATGTTTTTACGCAAAATCACTTTTTAAACAAAGGTATAAACTTATCTTTGTGAGTAAACTTTAGACTAGTTTAAAATCGATTTTCGATAAAGCTAATTAAGCATTCGCTAGGTTTGTTCGAATAAAATTATGTAGCTATTTAGTAGGCAGCGTGGTCCCCACATTAAAAGGTTACGGGCCAAGTTCAACCACTCTTATTAACTAAGTTTTCAAGTTCTAACAACCTACATTACATTCGCTATAAACAGCACATTAACCAATTACAAAAGTAAAACAATGCTTTTATATACAAATTGTTTTATATTATAGTAAGAACATAAAGTTCTTTCGATTCCCGGTTGAACAACGTATCTTTATGAGTATTTTTCTAAACATGCATTTTATATTTTGGTTTATGGATGAATTTACTTTCGAACCGAACGACCGCCATATTGTAGATACCTCCATCGAATCCATTACAATATATATATAATCGTCATACCTATTACTATTACCTACGTATGTTATGTTTTAAGAATGTGCATATTATGTACACAAAGACAATGTTACAAACTTGAAAGAGCCACCTACGATGAATGAAAAATATTTGCTTTGAAGAATATTCCAAAGTATTTAGTATTCATCTTAAGTTTTCGAACGAATACTTAATATTCAGCCCGAGAACATTAATGTTAAGCATCTAACTATGATAAAATTAAATTTTGATCTTGACATTATCTTATTAATTCATTATAATATAATTCTAATAAAATATAATCTATCCTTAAGACACGTAACAGTTTTAATTTTCATCTTATTATTTTATATTGTCATAATAATATTACGGAGGAATATAATAAAACTGAAGTTTGTTTTGGTTTCTTAGCTGTATGTATAAATAACATAACGCTCTAATCTAAAGAAGAGGGTTAAGTGTAATACTACGGGAGGAGAGCCGGTATAAACCCATAACCCTACAACCTCTATAACCGTTTACTCCTTATAACTCTACAATATCATACCTTAATAATATTTGTAGTAAGTATGGCGAATGTGACGTCATGCGCTTTCCCGCTGGGGTCAGATGGGTGCAAGATAAGTGCGCGGAGTCGCGACTCGAGATGAACCCACAGTACCACTGAGTTACGGTAACGACCTGCCTGGTAACGTTTACCCATCCAAAGACCGTCATCTTATTTAGGGCATCACATTTTGAACCTAGATGAATACCTACGAGGTAGTTTGTCAAGATATTTTAGTCAAGCATTCAGTACGGTTTCAAAGGTAAAGTTTAATGCATTATTCATTGTGTTTTGGCTTCCAGAGAAGTGTCAGAATGTACTTACTTTCGACTGTGCTGGAATAATTTTTGGTTTCGTATTCTGTTCTATTTTGTGGGACGTTTCTGTTAATCCGTTTGAATTGTGATTACCTTATCGCATTGGTGTAACTGTATTTGTGGGCAGTGTCGTGTTGTGCTATGTTTATTATAGCCTGTACGTGCTTTACGAACTTTATGTACGTACGTACGAACGATTTGTCACGGCCAATGTACTTTGTACGCACAATGTACTTTGTAAAACAAAATGTCTCTCCTCCCACTTAATTTTCTCGTGTATCTTAAATTTAATTTTAAAATTGCTGTTTTTTGACAGTTCATTTATTAATTAAATATTTAATATTTCAATTTCACTTGTGCAGCGATAGCGAAATTTCAACAAATAATTACTTACTGACATTTTCATAATGAAACAAGTAATGAGACAGTGCCCTTTGCGTGATAAATCTGTTCATTCGATTATTTTGCTGTTGCAATTTCGCCTAATAATAAATTAATGACTCGTTTAAATAAAGGTTAATTTAATTAATATACTGTTTTAAAAAACCTTTGTGTTATTGTGGTATGGAGTTAATTGGGCCTTACCTTCACGTTCAATGTTAACTCGAGTCGTGCAACGATCACCGTTGCGGCACTTGCGTTATTCCGACCACGGAATACTGACAGTCACCCACTTTCAATCATACGAACCGGTTCAAACAAAGACTACAATTTCTTATATCTTGACACTAAAATTATCATGCGTTTAACAGCAGTGAAACAACACACATTTTACAAAAATAAACAATTACTTTCAGTATAAAATTAAAGAGGAAACTTTAAATTTATTACCTTGGATGCAGTCCATGTATTTACTGTGTTAGCACAATGACATAAGTTTGTATAGTACACACTTGTTATATAATGATACACATACGCGACAACACGTCAAATTCTACACAATAGTAACAAAAATATCAATGAATTCACGTCATAGAATAGAAACGTCATACAAAACACGGTGTAGGAGTAGTAACAAGCTGCGCGGGCGCTTCGGAAACGATCGGATAACTTCGGTTTCAAGTGCGAGTAAATAAGAAAACAAGTTTTCCCTCTCGCTCGTACTTAGGGCGATAGGGGAGACTTTAGATTAGATCACTGAACTAAAAAGAAACAGAAACTTTGTCGTTCGTCCGGTTGAGTCGACGTTCAAAACCGGTTTAGTTGTAGCTTTTTAGTCCTTACAAATAAAAAGCTATGCATAGATAATCATACAACATACTGGCAGGGAACTTTACGTAAGGGATCGAGTGTTATGGCAATGGAAAAACTGTTACTGAACGGAAATGGACACCAGCAGTGGAACCATTTACATAGGACCAGAATATACTCGGACCAACAAACTTAATTGAATGTGCTTAGAGCTGCCACATTTATATAGTTGTTTCCGTTTAATAAACTTATAAATACTATAATAAATCAAACATTAATTCTTAAAGTACGTGGGAGACAGGAAACATTAATTTATAACTGTTTGACGTAAAAACTACCATTGTTGCAAATTCATTTTATATTTATACTGCTGAACAAAAGTGCTTTGGAGATGACACAAGGGGTTTTCAAGATTCGAAAGAGAAGCATCGATGTCCTAAATGCATAATAGATTATATTTTCCAACGTTTTCTTGGATCGTTATTGTCGTTAGATTTTACAGTCCTGAACAAATACTACAGAATAAGATGTATTGCTACAGTTTAGACAGACTGACTCCGTTTTGCTTCGACGTAAAGTTGAGATTTGATTGTGACCGGTGGCAGCATTCGCAGCGGTACTCCGGTCCAGTGTAGGACAAGAGCCCGTTAACGAGAGCAGCGGTTGTTTGTTTTCCCACGCCTTTACAGTCTTGACAAGTCTGAACCATGACCAAACAGTCCGGCACCATCGGCTGACGAACGATTTGTTTACGGTAATAACTAAATTTGTTTGCCCAACCAACTGAACTCACACACCATAGCCGAGTCAATGTGCTCAGTAAAAATAACGCGAGCAATAATTACAGTTTTAATTTAATGCTATTAACACCAACATTCGTGCGACGCCCTGCGTAAAAATGTAGGTCCCTGTAACGTTTATACCTCATTTTACGTAATGGTGATATTATATTAAACGAATGTTTAAGGGGCTAGGTAATAAAAAAATAACAAATTACGCTAAAGGACGTTATCTAAACAATTCCTGCTTACCTGAAAGAAATTCGCGACATTTAATTATGCGGAAGAATAAGGATATTAATAAAAGAGATTGTATCCATACCTTGTGAAGTTCCTCGGGTCTTCTGAAGTAGTCAGTTCGTGTATTAAAGTCCCGGTGCGAACTTGCCGGCGAATCCGAAAAGTTGTTTACAAGAGTTTTTATTCACTTTTCTCTCTAATATGTCTCTTCAAATCGATGTGAAATGAAGCAAAATAACTGTTTCTCAGATTTTCTGGAGAAAGTTAACTGACTTCGCGTAACAAGAACCAACTTTACCTTTCTATTCTGTTCTCTACTTAGAAAGAAGTAAATAAGAATTCGTTTTAGAAACTTCCATATGTTCCTAGAAAAGTAACCGTGTTAGTACCGTGTGAAATTCATAATAAACTTTGTTAAAAAGTCTTAGATTCAACTTTATGAACGGTACAATAGGTGGCTCCTGGCTACAACGTCGGTATCCACTGACATCACTCACTGTAAAGTACACGATCGTCGACAATATTCACGATAACGAACAGTTTCAGAGGTTAATGTGCGCGTTCGTCCCGTTGGGCGGTTGGCGCGACACTGGGCGGGCGACGCGTGGCCGCCCGCCCGCCCTTGCGAAAAGTTCACGGCAACAAAGTGACTTTCTTTATATTTAGTGACATTATTACATTTCAATCGTGGTGGATGTTTGTTGAACAAATAGTACTCATTTCTAGAGGGACCATAGTGCCTGCCATTATTACTGTGAGATTACGAAATGGCAAAATATTGGTTTATTACGAAACTGTCACGGGTTTATTGACCTCGTCTGTGTACTTCACATTTTCGTGGAAACCGCTACCCTAGTTGTGTGGCAAACCATTCTTTGTTAGAATCATTTTTATCTATTACGAAGTATGATTCGTCAGAACACAATTTTAAAATAAGTGAGTTATGTAGTTCACGTTTTGTTAATGTTCACGCTCTGTTACCAGTAGATAGTCTGGCGAGCGAACGAGATCTTATGGTCTAGGCACAGTGCCATACAAGTTGCAGTGTTTGCCAACTTTCAGCCGGCCGTGTAATATCATTCCACATGCGGTACATAGTGATACGATGAACCACTATTTACTGGAACAACATCGGTGTTGAGAAGACCTTAGCAGCTAACTACTATTATTCTAAATTCTAAGACTATCTTTTCGTCCACCTAGCAAATTAGAGTTGAGACTCTTTAAGTAGGTAAGTCTACACGAGATCAAAGGGACAGTAATTTTAGTTTGTCTCATGTAAAACTCTTTATGGAATTTTTATTTTTTTTTTCAATTAATTAAGCTGCCATTCTTTATATATATAATTCTTCTGTGAGTGTGTATGTTACTGAACTTCTTTCAAACGACTGGACCGATTTTGATGAAATTTTTTGTGTGTGTTCAAGGGGATCTGGGAATGGTTTAGATTCACAAATCAGACCGGCAGATGGCGCTGCAGTCGCACTGTTTAGGTTATTTATCCTATACAGCTGAACTAATTTGAATTAATTTTTGTATATACATTCAAGTGGATATGCAGGACAACGTCTGTTGTGTCCGCTAGTTACAGTATAATTTTTACGTCATCGCTATGTTTGATCTTTTTTTTTATATTTGATGGACCAACGTTTGAACACTATCTCGCCTGGTGGTGAGCGATGATGCGGTCTGGTGGTAACCTGCATAAACGTCTTATGCGATGGAGCACGTCGTCCCATAAGCAATTAACCTATTCACTCGGGCCTTGAAGACGCCCAGGTTATACCTTATACAAAAGTCATGTTAACTGTTCTTTATAAATAGAATTTTTAGTACCTACTTATTTCTTCTCAAGCTTCCCTATTCCTACGAACTGCCTGCGGAGTTCCAATAATTGGTGATTAGTTCCCTCATTACAGGAGACGTGGAAGTAAAGGTAAATGGAGTCTTAGAACTCCTACGTCCTCAATAACATGGACGAAGTACCAAAATATTTTTCAATATTACATTTCAATTCCACTACTTCGCGTATAAAAATAGCCTTAAATAGAACTCCGGGGTAAAATGTATCTCAAATGAAAATGTACATAGAGATTCATTTCAACTTAATTTTAGAATCACAATATACACGTAACTAGGTCCGGATTCGTAATATTTATGTAGATAAAATGTAAGACACTTTTTCCAAGAAACATTTAATATTGTGTTTTCTCCTAGGTATATAAATGCATGTTTTTCCTTATCTTGCTCCAGGTCTTAATATCAAAGGCAAAGTATTGGAACTGTTCGAATTATTTTTTTGTTACTGTAGTAAGCATTATGTTTTCGTATCAAGGTAAAGTTTGTGAACAAAAACCTCGAAAGTACAAACGTCTGGTATCTTTGTGTGTGCCCTTTGTCGCTTATGAGAATGGAAACCGCTAAGCCGGTCAGCAACAGTCACGTCAAGTCATCTCATTATATAAAACTACTTTTTGCATTCTGCGCCTAAGTCTTGCCCAAAGAAACCTCGCTTGTACATGCAAGAAAAGCGACAATGAAGCTAAGTACGAGAACTACTAAAGCGGCTTTATGCAAAAAGGTGCGTACGTGACAGAAGAACAAATTACAACAAGGTGTAAGCCCTGTTGTACATATTTCGGTGAAGTTAACTTGATCGTTAATAGCCCTGCAGACAGAACAAAGAGAATAGATCCTTCAAAGATATTCCAGCTATTTGGCGATCGACGACAGCGGCAGTAGGCCGGAATTCTGTTGTGCTTAACAAATGTTTGTTCCAGCCATTGCGGTATGTAGATCGAGCTGAAACTGAGACCTTAATCCAACAGACACTATTCTAAGCTCCTAGGTACATAGTCCATGTATTCTAGGATGTAGGATGTAAGCTGTGGGGAATTAGACTGGAATTAGTTCTAAAAACCGGGTTCGTGAACGTAATTCCCGTGAAAGCTTTCAGTCTTTTGAAATATGGAGATGTTTATTGTGTAGTGTCAGTGGTGTAACGGTTTTGTACCTTATACGTATGTAGATACGTCTGTGAGTCGTAACGACGTTAAGTAGCTTCTAGAACAAAAAGCGGGCTATGTGAAAATATCAATGTCAACTGTAATTCTTTTATTTGAAGAAAACTTTACTAAATAATTCTAAGGTCGACCCCATAAGCTAGAGTACCAGAGTACCACTACATACCGAGCCCGTAAACCTCGTCCTCACGTAACTGTTTTCTATTTTCGTTTATTTGTGCTAACAATTTTAGCTTTATAGCATTCGGGGACGGATTCCTGTCAATAATATTATAGATATTTACGAGCGAATAACTTATAAGATGGATAAGTTAACATAAAACTAGATATGGTTGGTGGACACGCAGATGCTTTCACGAAAATGACATGAACATACAACTATTTTTTATGTTACAAAATGCATTGCAATTGTCCTGTCTTGTACAAAACACTGCAGTTTCACAATATTCTTAAAGTGCTTGTATACGAAGCAACCTGGCCGTTACCTACCTTTGCATTTTCCAAGTATACGGAAATAAGGAGTTGTTTCCATTTTGTTGCTATGTAAATGAAGTGACACAAGATTTCCTGAGGAGGTAGATAGAACTTATAACACTTTTGTTGTTTTCACCAATCAGTGTAATTGTTCTAAACGTGATGCTTCTATTGAAAAATAAATCATAAACGCTCTCAGTAAAGGTCTCCATGACAGATAGATAGATAAGTATGATGTATCAGTTAATAGAGCATAACCCTAAGGTGTGATAGCTCAACCATTTGATACGAGGAAACAAACGGACGCGTCTGCTCCCACGTATATCTTAGTTCAGATAACCCACAAGGTGACATCCTTCTGATTTACAACCGTGTTCACGGTTTTCTCAGCCGGTAAAATACCCTGACGACAGCTCTACGATATTGTCTCGAATGTATAGTAATGCGTTTACGTGTATCTCATTAAAAGATTCGGCTCCCACAGCGGATGGGCGACCTTTAGTCTGAAAGTGATCGTTTTGGAATTGAAAATTGTCGAACGACGATTTGAATTTAAATGGGAGACTCAAATTGATATAACTATTGTATTTGCCGATGAATGCCGAAGTATTTTAGGAGTTGTAGAAAGTTAACTAGCTGTAAACATAACACATGACAGTTTTATTGTGATTATATAAATTTTGAATGGATCTTTAAGTGTTACGAGTATTTTGGGAGAAAATCGAAATCGACTACTAAGCTACCAAGGACGCAACCTTATTAGTTATATAGGTACTAAACCTCGTAGTTTTGGTAAGCGACCGCATTAAAAAAGGCACTTCTAATTTCACGCTCGCTCGCTCCACGCATGAAGCTTTTCGTCGGCGAAAGCTCCCTTGACACCCCTGGGCCCCCGTTCAATTAAGACGTAACTAATGATCTAGGAACAAATTAGTGCTCCTAAATGTTGTATTGCTATAGCTCTATAAATAGCATCTAAATTGTTGTGAGACTCCCGTTCTAGTTCATTACGACCCCATTGTATGGAGGTTTCAAAGTATGCAGTATGAGAAAAAAAACTGACCGTATCAAATAGATAAGTCGTTACAACATTCCTATCGTGACTATAATCTGTATGAGCCGTATCAGAAGCCGAAAACAAATTATTCTATATAGACCATTAAAGTTGGTAGACACCCGCCACGTCGGTCCCATCGTGTGTAATAAAACTATTGGGAATTTTAATAATAAAAGATTGTGTTACAGCCTCTAAGCAGAAGAGAAATAGTTTCAAGAGAGATTTCACTTTAGGTACCTTGTAACAGGAATGTTTTAGGTTGTAAAATAGTTACTGTCTTTGTTACTGGCGTGTTTTAGATGCTCTCAGGTAATATCATGACGTGACATATTTTTATTGGAAGTCTAGATGTTCTTTGCAACTGTGCGCTTGGAGTTCGCAACCTGCAGATACGTTGGTCGATATGATATGGATATATAGGTTTTTAACAATTTCACAAGCATTACTTGGGAGAACATTTTACTAAAACTTGTTCGTTTTTAGGAGTTGCGTACGTCCCGCAAAGGGAATATAATTAAAGAACTTTTATAGGTTAATTGTCTATTAGGGCTTAGTGCTCGCTCTAATGTAACTTATGCTAAATCTTGGTTATGCGGTAATGTCGGTTACAGAGTAATTCAAGAAAATTGAAGTAATCGTTAAAGTGAATGTTACGTCCACAAATAATG